TGATACGATTCTACAGTCTGTGCCGTAAACGTTACGGCCAAAGCACTGATTGCACACATAGGTGCTATGTTTCAACTGTGAGCATGCATATGTAGTATGAAACAAACATACCATTCACATAGGATGGGAGTGATCAACAAAATAATCGTATTCACACAGAACTAAAATTGATATATATATATATTAATGTAACGACAAAAACAAATACTTTTGTCAAAACGAAGACTTGTACCCCAAATTCTTGGTGTAAACGTTTTTTTTTACCGCAAAAAGAGATCAGATTGACGCTGGAACAAAACTCCAAAATGATTCCATGCTCGAACACAATACAGGATGTGGGGAACAATCGTTAACAGTAATACAGAAAAAAACGGGAAAATATAGCCGAGAGCACACAATGCTGAGAGACACGATATATGAATTAGGATCGTAATGATTAGAATATCTAAAGGAATCTGGAACCGGAAGACGTGTCGAGACGTACAAACGTCAGGCGGATATGATTGTAATAAGGGCGATATTACGTCACACTTCTTCTAATGTCTGATTAACTTTGTGCGGCTTGAGATAGCAGAAAAAGGTTTTATTCTAGTGATATAAGAAACTACCAATCTATACCATACAGGACGATATGTGTGTTATAAATAGTCTGAAACATTCGATAGTGTTGGAGTAGCGGAGCGATGACCTATGACGTCATATCAAAATTTCACTTTTTACACAAACAATGTATGTATGAAACATGTCGCAACCTTTCAAAACCGACTGGTTCCTTTGCGAAGCTATGAATGAGTGAGCGATTTGTTATGTTTACCTCTATAATGATGTGACGAAATTGTATATATTTCGTATGTCACTCGACCCGGGACGTTCACCTATCGATAGAAACCTATAAAGTGGATATGCTACCCACAAATTGATTATTATTTACTTCATCGACAACTCTTCACTGTTTTCCCAGAAACCTACAATTTTCAGTGCTGAAATATTATTTGTGAATAGTCTTATCGCGATATAAAATCGGCTCTGCTAGTGCATTGTCTATTATAGAGAGTTCAATAGCAGTGATTTTGATTACTTGGGTCTTTTCTGTACTAAATGAATACTGCCTCTTTGTCTATGTACAGTTGTATAATGGTATTCATTTCACTCACTATGCAACAAATTCATAACTTTTAGGCGCTTCGTATCACAACCGGGGTCACCAAAGGCTGTAAACCTGTATCTAATGCTAGTGGAAGGCGCGTGTTGGAAATGCAATTTGACATTTGACGCCCTTGTAGCATGCATACACTAATGGCGAAAAGCAGATTTTGCTTTGCATTAACGTTATCGATGCTATACGAAACAATTATTAATAGTAAACGCTACATATGTATTTATTTTTCTTTTACTAGTGATAATGCTAAGTCAGCATAGAGTTATTTTGTTTATTACTGGTTCTGCCATCCAACTATTCTGAATGAATAACGGCCGTTCTTATGTATCTGGATATGACTATTATCATCACTGTACATTTCCTTTATTCATAACAAGCTTTGAACAATTCATTCATCTGCTAGATACCTTTTTATTTATTTTTTAGATATATAAGCAATAGCTAGCTAAAAAGACTTTTTATGGTTAAAGATATGAAAATGGCTCTTAAGACATGAAAATCAGCAAAATATAAAAGATAGCATAATCATAGGATTCTACCTCTTAATTTTATCATCAATCGAAAAAACAGCATCAGTTGGAAACTATTCAAAATATTCTTTTCATACTACCATATAAATTCAACAAAGTATAATTTATGAGATACTCTTGCTGATAAAAGAGTTTTTATTAAGACAGCAAAGCTAATTATTTTGCCAATGTCTTATAAAAAAGAACAAAAAGACCGCACAAACAAGCAACAAAACCACCTGCAGAAATACACTATTTTTTATAAAAGCTTTTTTTAGCTTTTCGACTCAAGCTATATACATTTGGTTTTAATTTTAATACATAAGAAATAACTAGATTGAACTTAAGCGGTAAAATGTCATTGAGCTATCTAATGCTTAGAGTACAGGTGTTTAGGGTTCTAACCCAAGTCAGGTAATATTAAAACTCCAGTGCAGGGAGTTTAAATAGTAATTGATTCGTCTGAGAGGTTAAAACAATCAATGGAGACTAACTTACAAGGTAAATATCAAATAGTACATATCGCAGCGTCAATACAAAAGGGGAAGTGTTTGATCTCTGAGAGCTGATACGGATATACCAGGAACGTGGCTATAGAACACACAAAAAGATAGAAGTCCATAACAAATGGAAAGACATCAAGATCCAGTTGTAAAGCAAAAAGATCAGGAGTATCCGTCACCATACATGGCATACTATAAAAGGAATGTTTTTCGCTGTGTGGAAGAGCTTGCGTTTATTTGTGATGAGTAAATTATTGCAAAGATATCCATCGAAAACTTCTAAAATATAGTTTATAAATATACAGTATGTTTAAAAAGATTTAAGACTATTACCAGTGCAAACATTACCACACCGCGAACAAGAGTTTAAAGAGTCATTCAACGCCGAGATTTCTATAAGCGAGAATTTATTTCGCTTTTACAGTATTACAGAGGCATAGCCTGCATAGGTAGTACAATATTTGACATGATTCATCTATCCCGTACATCATGTTACATGTACTGAGTCCATATTGGTGCCTGAACACCGTTAAAAGGAAAGGATGTTACGTTTCTACTAAGGGAAGGAAAGGTGATCATTGCTGAAATGTAGTCTTCATTTTTTTCATAGAGATAGGTATTGGTGAGGTGGCAGTAGTTTGTATTGTAATGCAATACTACATATAAACAAACTACTCCGAAAAGGGTAGGTGTTTCCAAATAAGTTTGGCACCGGTCATGATACTTCCTTGCCAATATCATTATAGAAAGATGAAAAAGAAAAACTCAAACATAAACCGATGCAGAACAATAATTTTACTAAAAACATGGAGTAAAAAGGAAGCTAAAGGCTGACAAAGAGCAAGCGGGTATGAGGAACCTTAGCAAAACAACAGGCAAGAGATAATGGGAAAGCATATCTGGACTTAAGACGTTGTCCATAAAACATTATTGAACTGAACGCGAGAAGTGAACATTGACCATAGATCGACGTCGGGCAACCAAAGTAAGACTACAGGTGCAGTAATGAGTGGCAAGGGTATATAAATCTATAAATGATGCCGTATCAAAGCTACATAGACAAAAAGTTAAGAGATATCTGCATTGGACTGGACACGGGAAAAGAAGGGCAATAGCTTGACAATAGTCAAAAGGAGAAAATAATCTATCATTTGACTGCAGACGGGATTTGAAAAGGGGCAAGACCTAGACTGAAGGAAAGAGGTGATAACAAATATATATATTATAGACCTATAATATTATATATTAGAATTCCGAAAAAAAAACGTGAGGAACTATATCAATGAAGTACAGACGAGAAATAACAAAGAGAACCCATAGATGGAATACAGGGTATAATTGATTTGAAACCAAAGTTGGACTGCAGGTAATAAATCATGAGACGAAATAATTATTGGACTTCGGTATTGAAGAGATCAGGCGCCTTAACTGGACTTCGGGAAAGAGTTGATGAGGAACCACATATGGATTGCAAGGATACATTATTTGGCACCATAGTTGGACTGCAGATGGGAAATCATAATGAGGAACAATTATTGCACTACTGCAATGAAGACATGAAGAACCAGAACTAACCTTCGGGACAGAGTTAACGAGGAACCACAGATGGACCACGGGCAAGAACTGGTCAGGAACCTATACGTTACACGGAAATAAATAGCGGTAAAACACATAGCGTTTACGATACGACAAAGCCTCGAGGTGCTCTGTATGATGATTAGGAACGCATATCCACAAACGAATATCGCCAAGTTACTAATTACAATAACCCGGACTGTTCCTTAGGTAGGAACTAATATCTTCTCATGGTCGGAATGTTTTTGAGCGTTTTTATCATTACAATTAATTTTAGTGTCTGTCAAGCGTTATTATTTCAATCATTGATAACATTCATAACATGGAATTTTATTATAAAAGCTAACATATAACCCAGTTTGTCCATCGCTCCGTTATCAACAGTCAACGAAACAAACGAAAAATCAGTGATAGAATCAACTGGTGAACAAGGTCCGTGTTAGTAACTATATATAACTAAGTTAATAGTTACGAACAAGCTCAAACTTTAATTAATATCACTAAAGGCACATAGGAGCATCATGAAATAATGTCAAACATACATTTAACTTCATTTTGTACGTTAATTAATTATATTCAGTATGGTTGTTAAGTATTGAAATTCCTTATCATTATGATATCTGCCATATATTTTTTCAAAAGCAAATTCTGACAGCGGATATCTTGATTATCAAGGAAAAGACTTACATAAATAGTATGTATGATTATTATTCATTCGATGTGGTTTCCGTTAGAGTTGAAGAGTAATGAACAAATAAACATATAACACTGCGCTCGTGGAACGTCTAACTATTTGATAAAATAGTTTAAATGTCTTAATTTACAAATTTCAAACACGAATAAACACTAAAATCAGTTAATTATATGTCATATAAAACCTAAATAATAATTGCTTGAAAACTGATTGACAATAATATTTTTACCGTAATGTATATATGTTCCATTTTTGTTAAGGGGGTTTAAAATAACTTTCTGATTTTGCAATCATAACGTAATAACTGTACCAATTTTATAATCGGTTGATTTTTTGTTCATGAATTGGTACCTTTTATCTTATTTTTTTTCAACCTTGTCTAATAATCTTTCAAATTAAAGATGTAAAAGATAGACATATGAGATCAAAACTACACAAAAAATCCACTCCAAAGATGTCTATAAATCGATAAACGTACCAGAGATACAAAAAATAAGTTGGGAAATATTTTATCAAATATGCATCTATCTAAGAAAACAGAAAAAAGAACAAAGGCCTACCTGTAAACCGTTAATCCGGCCACAGACCAGAAGGAGGGCTATCGTGAGAAGCCACATGGCAGCTGTTCCTGTCAGCATGTTGTCGGTTGTTCAGGTACGTAGTCTCTGGTAGGAGAACACTCACGCCTGCTTATAAGTAACAGGATTGATCCGTACAGAAACGACTAGGGAGGGATCTGTAACAACCTAACAAAGAGACTGGCTGTCAAACATCAATTAGGCCACGCTTAATGAGTCCGTTGTCAGGTGGTCTGCACACAGAACAATGACGTCGCCTACGCAGGAAATACTGACATCATCATTTATTGTGAAGGTTTTTCGATGTGCTGGTATTCCAAAACGTCTGTTATACGCTTGACAGACCAATACACCTACGCTCCAAGAGAGACCATGACTAAGTCATGTTTAAAACATGACTTTAATTCACCAATGATAGCGATAGACCAGATAACTTTGAAAACTCTGACACAGAATAAAGCCCTATTAAGCACTTATCTCTATATCTGTCTGTAAAAGATAACCTCTTCACACGAAATACAGTTAACAGCGCTAAAATCAGATACCAAATTAATCTTTCATGCTAGAACTTTGAAGGCAGCGGGAAAAACATTAAACAAAAATATGTTCATATAGATTAGATACTGTAAATGCTAATTTAATACAAATATCAATACCAGCTATTTCGACTATGTAACTTATGTTTTTTATGTTGTCCATTTTGACTTTGACTTTAATCTTTGCTAGGACACATAGCACTGAACAAAAAAAATATGAATATATTGTAATCAACATACATGTACACCATACTTTTTATTGATACCTATTTGCATTAAATTACGTATAACTCTAAAGTGAGGGTGCTTATCTATGTTCAAATTCCCATAAACCCTGCCAACGCACGGATTTTCATTAAACTTTACAAGTGAAACAATAAGTTTTATTTTGTCAAATGAATGCATGTTACTTCCTTTTGAAGCTCAATAACATTTTTGTTACTGTATTTCATTCCATGAAAACTGCTTATATAGATTACAGACATGCTAGCAGTTAAAATGATACCAGTTTTGAATATGTCGGTAAGATAGTTTAGTTGACAATGAACAAAAACTGACCAGATTGTCATCATTTTTCTGTTGAAATTGTTAATGTATGTTATTTCGAACAACAAATTTCAAATTTCCATAGAGTGTCTCATTACAATATTTTAACAAAACTGAAAAACTGGGAAAGTGTTTTCCATTCTGTTGAATCTCTGCAACACAAGCTTGCATTTATCTAAACATGTTTTACTGTCATTATATACATAACTTTTATCACTATCAATTAATTCGAAAAAATGAATATCAGATAGTATGAACACATGCCATAGTTCAGGAAGGGGGATGGGGGAGAGTTTTTTAGGACAAATAGACAGCTTCTGTTCTACTTGTATTGCATTTTGGCAGAAATAAGTGTTTGGTTTATTTCTATACTTCTGTATCAATCACCCATCGTCCCTTAGCTTAAGGGAGGGGGGGGGGGGCAATATATAAATGATCAGCGCAATTGCTAGACTGGGACACACTCCAAAGACCTTCAAAATACTAGTTGGCCTCTATCTAAGAAGATGACTCCTTTAAGTTAGAAACATGCTTACAAGGTAGTTCTGATGAAGTTTGCTTTAAAGAATTTTCCAGAAAGTATAATATACAACAGTATGTGCACAAATTCCAACAGTTCTCTTACCAGTGGGGCAGAAACAGTAATAGTCTTTGATAGGATCTGTGGAATCTGCAACATCATACTTTATTCAGACATTGCATTTTGTTTGTGATTTATGTCAAGAATGAATCTGACCCCTGACCAAACCAGTTGAATGGTGATGCACCCAAACCTTAAAGTCACCTGAGGAAGTAAACTGTTCCGCTATATATCCTGCTGCTTACTGAACAAGTTCTAGACATACTGTATACAGGTTTTAAACTGAAACAAAATCTATAGTAGTATAGTATAAGAGACTAGTGTAAGACAATGTAAAAAAAAACTAAATGAAGATGAAAGGGGAGTGTATCAAAAGACAATAAGAAATAAAATATGAAATAAGCAAAATAGGTTAAGTTGGAAGGATAGCTTGCAAGGCAGTCAGGCAGCAAATGTGTGTTGTGAGTCAAAGATATTTTTGTTTATACTTGAGTGGTGGGTATAAATACTGATGATGATGATGATGATGATGATGATGATGATGATGAAATAAGGTAAAGGATGACGAATAAGTGTTATTTTGAACGTGTGAATGTGGATGTGAGAGAATGTCGTATTTTTTTGTATATGTAAAATACAAATGTGAAAAATAAAAATAAATAAATAAAAATATTAAGGTTTATAAAGCATGGCATCAAAAGGTAACTGCCTCCAATAATGTCCTCTAGATCCATTTTCAGTCCGAATGTGTTAGTGGGGTAAGTATTAAAGAAAGGCTGGTAGACTATGTTACCGCAGTTTAAATTAGATTTAAAAAAATCATTTTACGTATACAATCCTCTAAGATTATTGTTAAAGACTGACGAAGATGAGACATCTAAGAAAACCTATAAAAATATACTTTGAATGTTCAAGTGTGATTTTTCGGTCGTTATTTGTAAATGAGTGTGGTCATGGTAAGCAATCCTGATTGTGTGTACTTATAACACCAACTATTGGGATATCCTCTAATTTTCAGAGAAAACACCAATACATGCCCTTTCTGCCTTTTCTCTACAAACTTTAAAATAGTAATATCAGGTTCTGAAGTGATGTCAACTGAACATGAAAATTGCAATGTTTGAATAAAATCCATGTGTGGGAAGATTAAGAACCCCACCTTTAATTCTCAATTACAAAAAAAAAATACAAAAAAATGAAATGAAAAAAAATATGATGGTTTACAGTATCGTAGTCAATATTGTTCATTCACACAATTCAATCACTTTATGTTTGAAAAAAGAAACTTCAAACAACGGTTAGTTACGAGAACGTCGTGTGCTTTTACTAAATGAATCATTTTTAAACAATGATAACTTTTTTTTCGCAGAAAATTGGATCTCGACAAACACCACCCACACATGTAGAAGAATACAAACGAATACTTAATTAGTAGGTGAATAACTAATTTACTAGGCATACCCAGAGATCGCTTCCCTGAAAATATGTCATGCTCAACTCTCCACTACGAGAACATATATATTTTTGTTAATAAAGCAAGCATATGCACTTTGTTTTTCGCAAAAAAAGAATATCAGATACGAAGTCTATAAAACAGTGTTGAAATAAGTTAGGTGCGAAAGCTTTGAGCTGATGTTTTGGGCAACAAGATTTGTGTGTTGCTATCGTCCGTCGGATAATACCATTAATATGTGTTGGCGTTCTGGGATACTCTCGTTGTTGAAACATAGGGTGACACAGAGGTTGGTTTTAAGCGTGTGAGATGCTGGCGTTGTTTTGTGATGTCGTTGTTATGTTCCTGCATTGTTAGATACTTGAAATGATATGAAGTGAATTCGTTGGTTGCCCGCGAAAAGAGTTTGAGCCGATGTATATACCTTTTTGGTGACAGTTGTTGGTTTCTGGCGCGTGATATACTGGCATGGTTTTGTGATGACGTTATTTGTACTTGCATTGTAATCTATTAAATTGATGAGTATTGGATTTGTCTGCTGGTCGCTTAAAAGGTCACTGGCATTATTGTCTACCAGAATGTGTGGTACTATCGTTATGGTTTGCAGGTTTGTGACCCTTTATTTTTCTAATATTTTTGTTTCTGCTTAATGGCTGTTATTGCCACACTGAGCTACTGTGATGTTGGTTCCTTGTACTATGTAAGAAGATGATGTTTAGAGTGTTAGCGTTTTTGGAGGTTGGTGTTTATGGCGGATTGCATTATTAGGTACTGGCTTTGTTGGTAACTGGTTCGTGGAGTGTTGATGCAGATAGTGCTGGTCGCGAGTGGTAATGTTTTTTCGTTTCGTTTTTTATGCTAGTTTTGTATTCGGTCGGTTTTAGTTCATGCGGGTATTGTGGCATCCTAATTTGGATATCGGTTTAGTGAAAAGCTAGAATTATGGTGTTGCATCCATATAATCAACACATGTGCAACTGTCTATGAATCAATCAAACCGATTCCTGAAACTGCAATGTTCTACAAAACTATTGAAAACTAATTAGATAAGATGTATTACTTTATAACATAATATACTGTGTTATCACGTGAATATACCCATATCATATTTGTATATATAATAAGAAGCATATGTAAGCAATAATACCCTCATTGGTACCCTTTAACCGTTTTGTATTGTATTTAACCTGTACGTTTTCAAATTTTGTAAATATTTTCTTTTTTCAGTTTTACTGAATATATGACCTATTAACTGTGCGATAACAAAACCTGAAGAGCCACTATGCTTGTAAGCGTGTCTTTTTAGTTTAAAACCCGTTAGTCTAGCCATTGGTCGTAACTACGAGTTGTAATTTTAAATGATATATGGCTATTCCCTATGCATTAATATACATTTAGACACAATAGGATATATATCACTTGCTGAAATCTGTTGATATATACCTTAAGCCTGAAAATAGAAACACTAATGAATGTTCGTTTTTGGATTTTACACAATAACTGCAAACATATGGAACATTGATATGAAAAGAAATCCTGTTAAGAAAAAACTGTTCGAAACTTTTTTTATTCTCACAACTTGCACGAAACTGTAATCCTAGCGTAACACTTACTGGTTGGAGTAATACTATTAAACTATAGAATTCAACTCTGTTTTATGCGAGCAGGCCGTTTGTTGAACGTGAGGAAGAGCACGGCAATCAGATTTAAAATAACACAGTGTCTTACCTTTCTAACATTAAATGACTATTACGTAGAGCGAGATTGATAGCAAGACTTGAGGTTTTTCCAAATTTGGATTACACTGTCACTGTTAAGTTGATTGCTTAACATTGACTATCCTCACCAGCGCTTACGTTGAACAATGCAATCTTCAAGTGCTACGGTCAGCACTTAGTTTTGATAACTTCCAGCGTTCCTTCTTTTCTCCATCCTGTTTTCTTAACACGTTAAATATTAAATCATATAGCTGTCTTAAAATTCATTAGATGTTTGACTATAAACCACTTCTTCAAATTAATTCATATTAAAAAGGTCATGACGTTTTAAACTAATTGTTAATATATGAAGGGTACCCATCCTAATCCAACCCAAATACTTAATATG